CGAAACCCCTTGCCTGGCAGTCGCATATGCGACCAGTCGGCCAACGAGGCAGTGGAACTATAGCATGAATAAAGTTATTCTTACATATAAATATTAGATAATATATGTTACATGCTTGTTGGTTTAAATGCGACTGCTGAGTGAGACAGACCTTGGATTTTTTTTAAGGGGGAAAATCATCGAATGAGTTCTCCCGGCTGAGTGAGGCGGGAGGGAGTGTCAGACTCTTACTGACTAAAAACCACCCCGTTCCTTCTCCTGCACTTCGAGCCGGAGCCCCGGTAAACCGTTAGGTTTTCCGTGACTCCGAATCGGCATCAGCCCTATTGGGCTCCACCCGTGGTGGTCTAATGGCTCTTTAAAGCGCGCGAGGAATTCGTCGCGCCGTACGCTCAGGAGACCTTGGATTACATATCTGATCCAGACAAAGGATGTTTTAGTTTTTGATTTATACATTCTTTGTCCGAAGTTAAAAAAGTAGCAATATGGTTTATCCTCCTATGTGCGGGGTTAATGACATATTTGACCAAATAAAGAACAAGGACATTCGTTAATAACACGGGGAAGACCAGACGAGATAAAATATGATGTTTTATAAATTCTTTATGTTATTTATTCACCCATACCTGTTTATACTTACTTGTTTTGACGAAAGATATTAATATTATGTTCAATGTAAAACTTTTGATGAGATGTATGTTTGTTTCGTAGTCACGGCAAAACGAATGGACACAAGACGTATCTGGATGAAAACAGATGCAGGAATAATATACAACAGTATAATAATACCTTGGTAACGTGGGTAAAGATACTGACAGTTACCTTGCCTTATTTTTTTTAATATTGCTCCACACTAGGATTCTCCCCAGTGTCGTGGATATGTTTACAGACATACAAGTTCACATACACATGACACACAGACCCGGAACAGCAATCTGTGGCTCACACAAAGAATTGTTCCGTGCGGGAATCAAATCCGCGACACGTTGCGTGGCAGCCAGTTGCCCAGCCACTGCGCCAACCGTGGATAAATGTATACTGCACCGTAGATAATAAAAATAATGGTCGTATTTCAACGCGGAAAAAAGGACCAAATTTCCCTAAGCGTCTGGTCCTTATAAAATCCTTGACATTTTCTTTCATAAAGACACTGAATGTTAGCTAGGAAGAGTGAACAGTAGATAATTGTTTACGTCAAAATATTTGGCATTTGATTGCAGAAGGTTATTCTGTTGTTATCGACAGAGAAGTGGTAACCTCAAACATATTTAAAATAGTTTTGTTTACAAGTTCATTACAGTTAAATACCAATGTCTTTGTTTCTTACGTTATTTCTTGATATAGTTTGGTGTATAACGTAAGTAACTGTAATTTATTTTTTTGGACCGAGCAAATATTACTTACATTTAAGTATTTGTCTTAGTTTGTCTCTGGTCCTTACAGCCGCGATGATTCTATTTTCAATTATTTTTTTTTATTTAAAAAGATTTCTAAATTCGTTTTTGATATCTACAAATTACAATACTATTCTAAATATCTATAGAATAACAGAAAAAAATAAATATCAAAATTGTTAAATTACGTCACTAAAAGGATAAAAAGCAACAACAAAAAAGAAAACAACAAAACAACACAAGTCCGATTATCATAGCTACACCAGCTGATAAATGACGTCATCTCTATTACATAGCCTTAAGGGCTACTTTTCTTAAGCATACACCATCTGATGCCATAATACCGCTATGTTTTACAAATGCAAGGTTCCATGTGCCTTGAGGTTTGTCTACATTGCATCAATCATGACGTCACGTTCACGTGCGACCTCTGGGTCAGATGATGTGGATCTCTAGGGTGATGTTGAACATAAATAAATTGGAAAAAGATTTTTTTAATAGCTGCGTTCGTACCAAAGGACCGCGTTTTGTTTTTTCCTTAAGGACAGGTTGGATACATGGTGTGTCATTTTATGGTTGTTTTTTTAGTGAAAGATGGTGATAACATGATAGTGGATAATATGGAAAAGGATGAAAACGACATGATAATAATAGTTCAAGATATGTAAAGATTGGCATAAAGCTCAACATTTATAACGAGATGTTCTAGCCTTTTATTTAGGTAATAAATAAGTTATTATTATGTAAAATTTGCAAAAGAATATGTAGATTATATTATTATGGTTTAGTGATTATTAAAATCATTTGTTTTTTGTAAAATTGGACAAGAAGCATTGTGCATTTTCTACCGCTTATACCACGGGGAGTGCTCTGAGGAATTGTTTGACCTGATACCTGCCGCATATTTTCGCCATGGACCCTCACGACAGCATATGCATCCCCATCATATAGATGGTTGGCAGGCCACAACTGTGCGGTTCTCACGTAGCTTCCTGCCTCGCACAGCAAAACTGTGGAATGATCTGTCGTCGGCGGTATTTCCGAACCGATACGACCTTCAAACCTTCAAGAGAAGAGCGTACTTCTTTTTAAAGGGCCGGCAACGCACCTGTGACTCTTCTGGTGTTGCGGGTGTCCATGGGCGGCGCTGATCGCTTACCTTCAGGTGATCCGTCTGCTCGTTTGCCTTCTATTCCATAAAAAAAAAGAAGTCATCAGTTAACTAATCTAATGTTGGTCATCAGTTAACGCTCCATCATAAACCAAATAACACGTTACCCAAATCAGGAAATGAATTCAAATTATCAAATCTAGATTTGCATTCACTCATTATGGTAGTATTCTTTGCTACTTTTAACAAAATATTTAACAATCGTTGCGATGTTACAATTCTTTTTCGCACTTATGCAAGGTGACATAGAGTGGCATTTTGAACGCGTGAATTATGTCATGTAAATAATTTTTATTACGTGCATTTTGTAATGGACGCATAATTACTAAGTTGAAGGATGATATCGTGATTTGTATATCTTGTTTTGTCTTGACTAGGGGATATCTTCGAAAGTTGTCTAGCTTTTTGGGGAAAAAGACTTGAGTGTGAGGGATTTTTACCTTTGACTGCCTCGTTGGCCGAGTGTTTGCAAGTGCGACTGTAACCTACCTTAGCTTAGGAGTTCCTTAAAATTTAGTACACGTTGCAGAAAATGGGCCTTCGTTCAGTAAAAAACTAGATTTTTTTAAGACTAACTCATAGTTCTTATACCCCTAAGGTCAGACTAGGTCATAACTTGGTCAGGTTATTGGCATTAAGCTCAAAAACAAGTTTCCATAATTCGCTACAAACGGGTATGGGAAATTACCGTTTTGCATAAAGAAGTGATATTATTATGTTTTATATGAGTTAATGGTGCCAATGTAAGCGGGTCGGTTAGACACGTGATCAAGCTGTTATAAAACTAATTTAAGTTGTGATAACATAACATCACGCCTTTTATCTCAGAAATATAAGCGTCGGTGCACATTACCGCACTTATTGCTACTGCACAATGTAACACCCATTTTTCAATATACATGTTATGAGTGCCATGCAATAGGGTGTGGGTCTATTGGCAGTGGTCTACGTCTACCCATAACCGACCTAATCACTTGGGCTTGACCGCGAGTTTGCATTTTAAATAATTATTCGAACCGACAAGCGACCTACATATGTCTATGAAAAGTTATCACTTATTTTGATGCACCGTACATAGTTTCAGATTTTGAAATAATCGTGATATTACGTCATCTTTTCTATATTAATAATTTCGTCAAGGGGTACGGTAGACTCGATCGAAACATTACCTAAATAACAAAACATAAAAATAATATCCATTTCGAGTCAACAACTTATATCCGCAAAATCCGGATTACGGCAATTATTTCGTTTTATTAATTTATTTTAATGACACTGATGGATAATCCGCAGTCGCCATCTTGAGTAGACAATAAACATTCCGTTTCATATTTCATACTAGCTCTCAAATACGCCTCGCCAATCAACACGTTGTCGCGTCAAAAAAGTATAAATTAACGAGGTCGCGGGTAGTACCTAGTTAAGCTAGTACTAAATAAAACTTAATTCCTGGAAGTCTATAAAAATACAAAAAAAACGAGTATTGTTTGTATTTTATAGAGTCTTTCCTGGTTCATTTAAGAATGCGAAATCGCCTTGAAATTTGGTTGAACAGGACACGTTTTTTATGGGGTTCTTGAACTATAGTTTGTGGTTTTTTGAAACACGTGACCTGGGTTATGGTAACCATATTTGGAAAAATAAGTCATTTGGTGTTGCACGTGATTTTAGCAAATTTGTTATGTTTTGAATTTATGATGTGTGATTAATAAATTAGAACATTAAAAGTTATAGTACAACATTACGCCTTTTATCCCCGAAGGGGTAGGCAGAGATGCACATTGCGGCACTTAATGCCACTGTACAATGTAACACCCACTTTTCACTGTTTAAGTTATGAGTCCCATGTAATAGGGGGTGAGCCTATTGAAACTAAAAGTTATATTAATTAGGAAATATCCTGTTATTGAAAACGGGTGTGAGTTTGCTATCGGAATGATGTTCCGGGTCTGGGTGTCATGTGTATGTGAACTTGTATGTTTGTAAAGGCACCCACGACACAGGAGATAATCCTGGTGTGGGGCAATGTTTTAAAAAAAAAAAAATTGATCGAATATTAAACTACTTTCAGACCTAGTCATCAATTCAATCAATTTTTTTTCTAACTTTAAAATAGCAAATTGTTTCCAATCTTGACGAAAACGGTTACCTTAATTCATATAAATTGCGAACAAAAGCTAGAAATAACAATAGAACTACACCAAAGACTACTTCTACCAGCTAGCACAACAAACTACACCAAAACTCTTTAACATTTTTAATAGATTTCCGACCTTATCCTCAAATTGTTAAGGTAGAAAATCAAACAAAGAAACTCACAAATTTGGTATAGTTAGATGAGCTTTTGCTGGTATAAGTTTTCTTACGTTTTCCTTGTAATCTCCAGGGCTTAGAAGAGACATGCTATAATGAATGTATGTGTATTCTTGTTACAGATCCAGAAAGATGAATCGCAGGAGCCGAGCTCAGGTCCTTTGGGCTATTTACACAGTATTTCTTATAAGTAAGTTAACGTTTTTTTTACATTTATTTGTTTCCTAGGTACTTCCACGCAGTTGCACCCCCTCTGTTTGGCTCCTATTGATTGTAGCGTGATGTTTTGTAACCTATAACCTTCCTCGATAAATGGACTATCCAAGACAAAAAGAATTATTGAAATTGGATTGGTAGTTCCAGATATTAGCGCGTTAATATCTACAAACAAACAAACAATCAAACAAACAAACTCTTCAGCTTTCTATAATAGTATAAGAAGTATAAGATTAAAATGGCTTTGGTTTGGTCCATCCTTTAGCTATAGCTAGTTTAACTACATATTAGCTCGAATGCGGAATCGGAGTCCATAAAACTATGTTTTCTGTAGTAGCTAGGAGCTGTGGTGAAACCGGTGACGGTTTATTCCTATGGGTTCTGGTTTTGACGTGACAACGTCTTAAATTAGGTTGCGGCTGGAAGTCACTTATGAAAAAGTGTAACGCTCGGTAACGTTACGATGAGTCACCGAACGAGAGAGAGGCCCGCCGAATGCCTTGCGTCTCTCTCCCACTCAACTATGATCGGTCTGCCGCGCGCGCAGCACTAGTTCATTCAATTCCTTGTTCCTATTGTGCAATTTAATTATATTCATATCAATAAATATTCTACCGAGAAAAAGACGTTGTCACGTAAAATCTTCGCCCGTAAAAACGACTTTACAGGCAACCATTTTTTTGAACTAAAATTCTGTATTCATCTTTATATTATTTAGAAAATGAGGAGTGATGAAAACAATATGTAATTTGAAAAATTCATGTATGTTTATAATATATTGTTTAGTCGTTATTTTGTATATTTGATGGGCCGACGGATGGTCCTATCCCGCCGGGTGGTAAGCGATGATGCGGCCTACGATGGAGCAATATTACAGTGGATCCTGGAAAAAAATTACAAAATTACTTACTATTATATTACCCCCAACTTAAGAGAAAATGTTTATTTTATAGTATGTACAAAACTGTTTAAGTATACAATGACCTCTTCTAATATGAACTCTATATTGTAGCAACAAGGTCACTTGTCAAATGAAGATTATCACATTCTTGCATCAGTTTACACGGTCACTTGGCGGTACGTGAATATTATTGTGAAATATTTACTCTTTTTATATGCTGGTAAAAAAAAAATATACGTTTATACATACAAGACAACTAGTGGTCTCTACTCTTTAATTTTGTCATGTGTTATAGAAGTGGTACAAATATAATGTGACCATTTATTTTTTGACTCAAAATAGTACATTCGTTTATTTAGATTCAGTCAGGCATCTAGCAGCTAGATCCTGTTATAGAACCTGTAAACACTAACTTTGTGCCCATAACAAAAAGGTTAACATTAGTAACTGCACAAAAATGGAGGTACTTAAAGTATTTTCGACTGTATTTCGTCAAAATTTAACGAGTTATGTATGATGCTGTATCGCTCTCGCACGCCTCTCGTCTCGAGCCGTCCGAACTGTCGTCCTAAAAGTTCATCAAGTGACATTGAATAAATGTATATTCAAATTTTCACATCGTTTCCGAAATCGGGACAATTTTACTTCCCAGTGTTCTTTTCGCGGACAACGGGACTCGTAATTATAAAAAGGGCGAGTCCCGTTCAAAACGGGACGTCTGGCCATGTAACAACATATAATATGAACATTAACGGCATCTATACATTCGGAAAGAAACAGATCCGATCGTACGGCGCGTCGCGTTCCGTGTGCGCCTCAAAAAGCCATCAGACCACCACAGATGGGGCCCAGCAAGGCTAATGCCGATACGGAGCCGCAGAGGAACGGCTTGCCAGGTTGCCGGGGCTCCGGTTCGAAGTGCAGGAGTAGGAACGGTGTCTTTTAGTCAGTAAGAGTCTGATACCCCGTCTCGGTTTAGCCAGGCGGGAGAAGTCATAGAATGGTTTTCCCATTAAAAAATAAAAATAAAACTAAAAAAGGGTTTGATGTTACGTTCAAAACTTATGACGATGAGATTTTAAAATATGCAGTACAAAAAGCAATTTACATGTTTTGATTAAGACTTTATTCAATTTATGCTTCTGTTGCGAATTATTTAGAACATCAGTTCAACAAACGCAGTTACTGTTTCTCGTAAAGAATTTAAGATATGCTGGAGCAGATTGTTCGTAAAACTACAGACATTCAATACAGATTTTCTAAATAAACTTTTTATTATGACATTACTATACAAATGGCTGCTAAAAAGCTTAAGTTCACTGCAGAATAGAGAATTAAATCTGAAAGAATTAACGCTACAATTTTTCGTTGAATATTTTTGTGAAATCACGCAATTTATTGCTACTTTCAAGTGAGATTGAGTTAAGTATTTTTTGGGTTCTCAAAGAATTCTATTACGAAGTCAAAGTCGATGACAACCCGTTATTTCTTTCGCGGCTCCGTATTGGCATCAGCCCTATTGGGCCCCATCTGTGGTGGTCTGATGGCTATTTGAGGCGCGCGTGGAACGCGACGCGCCGTACGTTAGGGTCTGGTTCTGATCGGGCGGCGAGTCACCTGTGCTCGCCGTCCGAAGACCCTTACGATGGCCGGAGATCGTCTCGTGATCCCTGACGCCCGAAGTGTCTCTCGCGACGGCTGGGGCGTGAGGAGGTTCGTTCCCTCACGCACTCCGACTCCGACTCCGCCGCCGCCTAGAATGACTGCTTCGCAGAAGACTGTCACATAACCTAGAATAACATAAAAGCTACTTTTTACCACGAGAGTGCGGGTGAAGCTGGCAGAAGCTATACATATAGTTTATAAATAAAACGCACTTTTATAATGCAGAACCCATTGAGTACTTAACTTATAAAACTTCGCCAGATTTTTTGTACCGTCTAGACTTAGGTATAATCTTTTAAATAGTAGGTAGGTAGGTACTAAAAACTTTATAAAAATTGGCTACAATGAAAAATGTTGGACATTAATAATGTTATTAGTTAATCATTTTGAAATTGGCTGACACTTGTAAATAGCCTATTTTTGTTAACTTTTTCTTTTTTAAAATCTCATTAAGTAATAAGTATTTTGCTTGAGTTAAATTTACTTTCGAAATTCATCAGGTTGTTTTAAGCAGTGTCTAAATTGATACAAATGCGTGATAATCAGCCAATGTTGAAACACTATCCGGTTCCATATTTCTTGGAGTATGACTTTGCACAAACCCTTTAGTTGCTTATCAATTACTCAGGACGAAAGACTATAACTGCCTTTTTGGTTTTTCGAAAATTTATCTCTGTTTTCCTTTTTAAAAACCCGACAATATACCTGTGACTTCTTTAGTGTTGCGGGTGTTGATGGGCGGCGCTGACCCCTTCTATCAGGGGATCCATCTACTCGTTTACCTCCATTCCATTAAAAAACATTTCGATCGAGTTTGTAATGTTCGGAGTTTAAAAGAAAACCATTTCGTTCAAGTGTCGTTTATTGAATGCCAAAGTAATACACGTTAAAACTAATTACATATAAAGTGCAGCGTCAACATTGCTTGGAGGTATGTTGCAGTCAATAATTAAAAGTCGAACCGTGTCGCTGTTAAACTATAAAATCATCGCATTTCAACTCCCCCGAAAAAGTACACACTTCATCCCCCTTATAAAAGGAAAAAAAAAAAATGAAGGCTGCAAACAATGTTGACTACATTTTTTTTTTTTAAAAACCTTATTAGAATGTTACACATACTTAAACTAAGCTTATAAGTAAATTACAAAATAAAATCAATTATGAAATAACTTTGTATTATTTTTATGCGTTACATATTCCTTATTATTTTTTATAATTTTCACATTTGGTGCAAGATCCTCAATGACTTTATATGGTCCACTATAAATTTTGTCTAATTTGCTACCTACTTGATTTTTTAATAAAATTAAGTCTCCTTCTTTGTAAGTTATAGTATTAAGTTTTTTGTCATAAGATTTTTTTCTAATTTGTTTACTTTGAACAAGGTTTGATTTTGCATCTAATTGTGCCTTTTGTAATCGAAATTTTAACTCTATAGGATAATTTTCATCATTATAAACAGGATCTACTGAATTAGTTTGCAAATTTGTTGGCAAGTGACATAGTTTTCCAAAGACGAGCTCATAAGGCGTATACTTTGTCTCAGTGTGTACGGTAGTATTATATGAGAAGCACCAGTATGGCAACCATGTGCTCCAATCTATACTAGTACTTTCGCACTGCATTCTAAGAAATGCTCCTAAATTTTTATGGGTATTTTCTAAAGCACCAAGTGTTTGATGGTGATAAGCCGTGCTATTGTATTTTTTGATTCCTAACAAACTGCAGATTCCTGTCATGATCGACGACATAAATTCTGTCCCCTGATCAGTTATTATTTCTTTAGGTAACCCATAACGCAAGATAAAATTATTCACAAAAGATTTCGCAACTGTCTCCGCATCTTTTGTTTTTAGAGGATACGCTTCCACATACTTTGACAAATTGCATTGTAACGTTAGAATATATTTATAATTAAAACTATCTACTTCTATTGGGCCCATTAAATCTAAACTTAATCTCTCGAAAGTTGAGTTTGGTGTGGTGGTAATAAACATTGGTTCTCGAATTTGTTTATTCGTAAACTTTTGAACCTGACATTGTTTACAGGTTTTCACGAAGTTAGTGACGTCACTGGACATTCCTGTCCAAAAATAATATTTTTTAATATTATTTAACATCCTATTTACCCCCGCATGGCCGCTAGTAGGTAATAGATGAAAATCATTTAAAATAATACGTTTTTCATCTTTATCAATTATACGTTTCACATCTCTAGTAACAAGAAAACGTGGTACCTTCGATGCTTTCATTTCCTTTAATAAATATTGAAGTAATATTTTATTACTTTCATATTTTTCCAAAAAAACGGGGGAGGTGTAGTGTGTGTGACACCTCGCCCTATAAGTAAGTAGTGTAAGTTAGTTCTTAAGACACTCAATTAAAGTTATTCATAAGAACAACACGTC